GTGTTTAATGAAACAAAAGGTGTAAATTTCAGTAAGAAAGTATTGTGGTATTTCTGCTTACTCATGTACCACCCCTCATTCTCCAACTTAGTGGCAGCCATGGAGATGGTGGCCTGAGTTCCAGTTGGTGTCTTGCTGATGCCAGGAAGTGCAATACTCACTTTGTTCTCAAAACATTGTGACTCTGGATTTTGACCTGCCTGGAGTTTCCATTTAGATGGGAGCAGCTCCTCAGGCTGGTGTCAGTCAAAAGCTTTACAGAAATACACTACCTGTAGCCACCTGTAACAAGGAGCAGTGGACAGGGCAAGCAGCAGGCTGACAAAAAGCCTGAGAAGGATGAGGCTAAGGAGGAAGATACTTCAAGGAATAAGGGCTTTGAAGGGTTACCACATACACCAAGGAATCTGCAGTGGGTTGTGCATGACCAGAGCAGGATGCATGTTCAGAAAACACCTGAAAGAACCCTAAGCTAACATCTCTAGTCGATCTTTGCTCTTTGCTCAAGCAGGATGGGAAGTCTAAGGCACAGTTGCTGGTAGCCTAGCTAAACGTGGAAGGAGTGCCCCAGCCCAGAGATAATCTGCTCAGAAAAAAGGGAGTTTGGTTTTTGTTGTTGGTGGTGGTTTGGGTTTTGTTTCCTGGCATTAAAGTAAATCTCTATCAGGATTAGGATTGGAGATAAAAGAATCCCCAACAGGATTACTGCAGAGATAACAGAAAAAAGACTTCAGTGACCACACAGAACAAGGAGTACAGTTTATTTTTTGAAAAAATATTTTGGAAAATTCAATAAACAAATGGACAACTGCAGCCCACAACAATCAACAACAGCAAACCCTGGGGATGGGATTTCCAGAGTTACCACACTGTAATATTCAAATTGTCCAATTTACAAAGAAAAATATAAAGCATACAAACAAACAGAAAATTATGGACCATTCACAGGGAAAAAAATTGGCAGAAACCATTCCTGAGGAAGCCCAGATATTGGACTTACTAGACAAAGATATTACATATTTTAAATATGTTTAAAGAGCTAAAGGATACCATGGACAGAGAACTTAAGAAAACTGGGAGAAAAGTGTATGAACAAATAGACACTACCAGTTAAGAGATAAAAATTATTGTAAAAGGAACCAAACTCTTTCTTTAAAAAGAACTTGTGGAGCCAAAAATTAAAATAGCTGAAATAAAATTCTTACTGGAGAGGTTACACAGCAGACTTCACCAGGCAGAAGATGGAATCGGCAAACTTGAATATAGGACAATTGAAATTATCTAGTCTGAGTAGAAGAAACAAAAAGGAATAAAAGGAAGTGAAAAGAGCATAAAGGACCCATAGGACACTCTCCTTCAGACTAATATATGCATTATAGGAGTCCCAGAAGGAGAAGAGAAAAAGGCAGAAAGAATATTTGAAAAAATAATGGCCAAACTCTTCCCAACTTTGTAGAAAGAATGAATCTACATATCCACAAAGCTGAATGAATTTCAAGGAGAATAAACTTAAAGGGATCCATACCAAGATGCATTATAGCTAGCAGCTGAAAGACAAAGGCAAGCACAGAATTTCGAAAGTAGCAAGAGAAAAGCAATTCCTCAAGTACAAGGGATGCTCCATAAGATCAACAGCTGTTTTCTTACTTGAAACTATGTAATCAAAAGGTAGTGGGATGACACATATTTAAGGTTCTGAATGAGGAATTATGCCAGTTAGATGGTAGAGCAGGGAGACTTACCTCTCATCCCTCCACAGAAATGCTGATTTAACAATAATATTGTTATCAAAATACCGTGAAGAGACATTCAGGATCCAACTAAGAAGCAGAAGCAGCCTAGAGGAGCACAAACTGAGAAGCAGTCATATTTATACAGGTAAGAAAAGCAATTTCAATTTACTCACATCAGTCCCTCCTCCAGACAGGCTTAGCTCCACCCCAAGAAGACTGCCTCAGCCCATGATTCTCGCATGGAGGGATGGTGAGGTTGGATTGTGCACAAGGCCTCAGGGCCTCCTAGGGTACCTTCTGAGGAACTGGTTTCTATCTTGCCTCATACTGAGCACTGAACAACCAAAGATCTTGGTCCCTTGAGACAGTTAGAAACAAAAAAGGGGAGTGCATCCCCTTATAGTCAGAAATTTTTTGTCATGATTGTGGAAAAGCAGAGAACTGATACTTTACCTCAGGAGGGAAGGAAGGACGCAAAGGGGCTTTGCTCCCAGCCTTAGAGTGACTAACACTGAGCACTGCTGACAGTGAAAGTGTATCCCAGTCAAAATCAGTCCAAGAAGATGGGGAGAAGTAGCTGCTTCTTCAAATGCACAGACAACAAAGCAAATCTACAAGGAATATGAGGAATCGAGAAAACACAACACAAAGGAAGAAAAAAAATCTCCAGTAAACAACCTGAGAGAAATGGCTATAATGAGTTGTAAATCACTTTTAGCTCTAGTAAATATAAAAGTTAAAAGACAAAAGTATTTTTTAAAATAGAATTATGACTACAATAATGTGTTAATACATACACAAGATAAGCAGATGTAAGTTGTCACATTAACGAGCTAAAGTGTAGGGGAGGGAGAAGTAAAAGTGCAGTTCTGGGATAAGATCAAAGTTAAGTTGTTATTAGCTTAAAGTAGACTATTATCACTAGGTTGTTTTATGTAAACCCCATGGTCAGCAGAAATAAAAACCTGTAGTAGATACAAAAAATGTAAAGAGAATCAAAGCATACCGCTACAAAAAATAATCAGAGAACACAGAGAAAGACATTAAGAGAGGAAGAAAGGAACAAATGAACTGTGAAACAGCCAGAAAACAATTAACAAAAGGGAAATAATAAGTCTTCATTATCAATAATTACTTTAAATGTAAATGGATTAAATTCCCCAGTCAAAACACACAGAGTGGCTGAATGGATTGGAAAGAACAAAATCCAATCATATGTTGCCTACAATAGACTCACTGTAGCTTTAAGGACACACATAGACTGAAAGTGAAGGGTTGGAAAACAATATTCCATTCAAATGGTAAACAAGAAAGAAGAAGTGGCTTTTCTTAAATCAGACAAAATAGATTTTAAGTCAAAACCTGTCACATGAGACAAAGAGGGTCATTATGTAATGATAAATGGATCAATTCATCAAGGGGATATAACAAATATAAATATATATGCACTCAACAGTGGAGCTCCTAAATATGTAAAACAAATATTAACAGATCTGAAAGAAGAAATAGACAGCAATACAACAACAATAGGATAATTCAGTACCCCATTTTCAACAATGGATAGATCACCCAAAAGAAAATCAGTAAGGATATAGCATACTTGAACAACCCTACAGACTAAACGAACTTAACAGATATATAGAGAACATTCTAGCCTACTGTGTAGCAAAATATACATTCTTAAGTGCACAAGGAAAATTCTCTTAGATGAAATGTTAGGACACAAAATAAGTCTTAACAAATTAAAGAAGACTGAAATCATATCAAGCATCTTTTCCAACTAAAATGGTATGAAACCAGAAATCAGTAACAGGAGAAAATTTGAAAAACTCACAAATATGTGGAAATTAAACAATACACTCCTGAACAACCAGGGAGTCAAAAAAGAAATCAAAAGGTAAATCAAAAAATATCTTAAGACAAATAAAAATGAAAACACAACATACCAAAACTTACAGGATGCAGTAAAGCAGTACTGCTGCAATGTCCACACACACTAACATTTACACGTTCAAGGTTTACTGGCATCACAACGCATCAGCCCAAATGGCAAAGCACCCAGATAAGCACCCAGATCTTCCAAGGAGGATCAATGTAGAGCAGCCACCACGCCAGGAAGATCACAACACTCTGTGAAATTCAAGCTCACAATGGAGGAGCAGCTGCATTTTTTTTTGCATGATTTATAGCATTTTTGGTTTTGGCCAAATGTGTAAAACAAACCTTTTCCAAGTTATATTTTTTAATTGGTCCTTAGGGTCTTCTTCTGGCTCTATTTTAATTCTTAGGGAACAATTTGCTACCTAATAAAAGTTGCAAACATATGACTTTGGAAAATGCAGAACAATAAATAATAAGAGAATTTCAAATAGTTTATTATTTGGGTTACATTTAGGATAATTGAAGTCACATAGAAAAATATAGATGAAAGGTAGCGTTCCCAGGAATCATTGCAAAGGCCAATCCAAATTCATTATCTTTCTTGTGTCTCCACTCCTGGCCCCCAGCTTAACTTCCTGACACTTCTGAACTCCCCCTTGTGGTTCACAACCCAAATATTCCCTTGCCCCCCGCCTGCTTTATTTTTCTCCATACCATTTAATTTTATCATTCTACATTTTACTCGTTCATTTGTTTGCTTTTCTGTTTTCCCTTCATGAGAAGGTAAATTCCATAAAAATGAGGACCTATATATATGTTTCACTGCTGAGCCCCAATACCCACACAGTAACTGGAACATTGTATGTTTTTAACGAGTATATGTAAAATATAAAGCAATAATTTCACACTGGAGATTTATCACAAAAATGTTATATTTATTTGTACATATACTTATTGATAAATTAATATAAAATGTATGTTCAGCTTTATCTTCATCCTATTGTAATATGCTACAACCTAATATAACAGAGAATGAATATTTGTGAAGAGGATCTTGAGGCACCATAGAAGCCAAAATCATTTCTAAATAATAAAATACTGAATTGGATTTAGTACTGATTTTGCTTTATCATGTGCTACTTATTTAAAATTTGTACGTATTAGTATCCTTAAGGTAATTCTCTTTGTTAGGTTATTACATTAGTCTAAATATTTACTCCCCAATCATTGTCAATAAATTTATTATTTTAAATCTGATTGTAAGAAATTTTGAGGCAGATAGGTGATTTGAGATGGAGTTTGAATACAATCTTTAGACTTGAAATGTACAGGTAATTGGACTGAATTGAATTCTAAGTGGAAACATTCCTGGGAATATTTTATTACCTTTTCGTATGGTAGGCATGTCACTGTCTGCAATCAATTGCAAGCAGTCTTGAGTGACTGAAAAACAAAAATATATCATTTTAGTTACTTGAAGAGAAATAGTAAGGGACTAAAGATGACCACGAATACAGAGCTGTAAACCCACTCTTCCAGTGACACCAAATCAGTTATACTTTCTATATTGCCTGTATGCTCTCCTTAAAATTACTTTAGGAAATGTGCCCACAGGTTCTTAATATAACTCGTACTTGAAATACAATATGTACTTGAAATTCAAGCTTTAGAAAAACTCTATATGCTGTTGAAATACAGTAAGTATATCATCTGAACAGTTTAGCTTAACTTATTCTAAAATGTTTATGCCTGTATAGAAAGCAAGTTTAGCCACTGTCATTTGTTTTTCAATTCTCTTAAATACACAAGCCAAATTATCAGATCACTCTAAAATGATTTTTTGTTTAAAAAATCTAACATTAAGTGACAACTCACTAGTACTGAAACTATCACTATTAACATTACTGAAAATAAAACTAATTGCTAAAATGCATTGAGCTAATATAAATCCAGGCAACTTCAAAAAAATCCCAAGATTTACATACTGGAAACTACGTCATGGAAAGTGTAAACAACCTGTCCAGTCCCCAGGGATAGAAAGTGACAGGGCCAGAGTTTAATCACGCCTGTTTCACTGTGGAGCCAAAGTCAGGCTTTTGGTAAAATGTTTTGGACTAGAAAGAGAAAGAGAGATACAACGTCTTTTTAGGATAAAAATGGAAGATTTCCCTGACACTGCATCACCAGTAAAGCTTCTGGGAAGCATCAATTCACATCACACATCACATATAGAATATTACACAGAGTATTCCAAAGAATACGTAACTACGCTATTAAATAAAGACAATGCCTTCGGGTAACAGCAAAGTAGGTACACTGCCTGTAGGAAAAGGAAACAAAGCAGTAAAGATCTACGGTAAATATGGAACATGAACCTAAGTATGCCCACTTTAAACTAAGAAAATATTAGTTTAGGTCGTTTATTATATAGCAGGTATTTTATTCTGCATTGAAGTAATGCTTTAAAAACATGCTTCGCAATGTATACACTTTAGGAGCTTATTAACACAGTGGAGAGTTCCTGCTGCAAGTCACTAATGGAAAACATGGAATAACAGATGTAATAATTATGTAATATTCTGAAGCTGTGCAAATGCATAGGCCTAAAAAGAATACTGTTACAGGCAGTGATCACATATGAAAACCTGCTAAGAAATTTCCCTTGGTATTTAAAGGTGGAACTATAATGATAGAAACTGCAATTCCTTTATAACCACGAGACTTTTCTAACACATTGTTATGTTAATGTGATGGTCTGGATAGGAGCACAACATTTTGGCCACTTTGTGGTTCTTTTATTGACCTGGAAAACAATGGCAGCGGTGTCTATGCCATAGGGAAATGTGACTCATTACTGCAGTTACTATGGCAGACCCTCTGCCACAGAAAATATGGAAAAGCATCGTAACAGGCAGAATAGCTGTGAATAAGGACAGCTTGAAAGAAAGGAACCACAGAACATCCAAAGCAGCCAAAGTCTGAAAAGCACAAGGTCTAGAGTCACCATATTAAACCTATTTTTCTAACAAACACTTCTTGAGGAATTACTACATACAAGGCACCATGATAAGTTTTGTGAGGGATGCAAGGGCCAATCAGAGCATGAAAAGCTCTAATCTTTCCTCCACAATGAAAAAGAAGAGGATCTTGACGAAAGTCAAAGTTAAATTTCCAAACTTTCCATCTTTCCTTCGTCATGTGCATGCATATTGTAAAGATTAAGTGAGATAATACATCTGAAACATTTAGTACTGTACTTGGGACATAATAATTGCAAAGTCAATCTTGGCTATTATTAGTGGTATTGTTCTTAGTAGCATCGAACCAAATAAACTGGGAACACAAGGGAAGGACATTAGGAGAGCAAGAAGACCAGGTGAAGCTGATAAAGGGCCCAAGGAAATACTAGAAATACTATTTCTTGTTTTTTGGTGTTTTTTTTTTGGCCACACGAGGCACCTGGGATCTTAGTTCCCCAGCCAGGTATCCAACACTTGCCCCCTGCACCCCTGCAGTGGAAACGCGGAGTCTTAACCTCTGGACCGCCAGGGAAGTCCCTAGAAATACTATTCCAATTAGCCCTCTCCTTGACTGTTTCCACAAACTCCTGTAGGAGGCTTACCTTTTCTATTTAGACAGAAAGGGGTTTACCTAATGAGTGCTGCCTGGAAACTACCAAACTGATATGAAAGTATCTGAATTTTAATCTCCAAAGCCCAACTAAAACTTGGCCACAACCTACACATTGAAAAACTATGGTCTATTCTATCACACAGTAGCAGAAATCTATCTTTCAGAAGAAAATACACTATGGAGAGAAATTTTTATTTCATGAAATACTCTTCAGAAAAGAAAATGAGATATTAAAATGACAGTTCAAGAGTAGTGTTTGGGGCTTCCCTGGTGGCGCAGTGGTTGAGAGTCCGCCTGCCGAAGCAGGGGACACGCGTTCGTGTCCCGGTCTGGGAAGATCCCACATGCCGCGGAGCGGCTAGGCCCGTGAGCCATGGCCGCTGAGCCTGTGCGTCCGGAGCCTGTGCTCTGCAACGGGGGAGGCCACAACAGTGAGAGGCCCGCGTACCTCAAAAAAAAAAAAAAAAAAAAAAAAAGAGTAGTGTTTGAATTATACTCACTAAAGCTAGTGCTATTCATTAGTTTTCCTTATTCCAGAGAAAGTCACTGGGCTTTTCAAGGAGATAAGTTCTTGGAAATAAGAACAGGACTTTCCATCCTGCCCTCATTAGATGCTGTTCAGGTCCCATCAACCCTATCAGTGCTACTTACCTCTTCAGCTTTCAACTCCTCCTTTTAAGGAAATTTGATATCTATTATCAACTTATCTCCAGTTCAGTCTTTTAGGACTCTCTTTCCAATTCAACATAGATCTGATTTTAGACTATAGATTATTGCTCACAAAAAGTTGGCCAAGAGAGCAGTACTGTTTTTGTATCTCCCAATAGCATAGATATCCAACCACAAGAGTTTTGAGAATGCATAGTCTAATATAAGAAACATAATATTGATAATTGTAGTATTAATTGACTGTGTTTGGTTTTCAAATGTCTTTCACACATCTTTCCTGCTGCTACAGTTGAGGGGAATTATACAAGAGTTTGAGAATGGTTTATCTTTTTAACTAAGCAAGGCAGTAGCATACATTAAAACATTTCTGCGTCAATGGGGAGACACGTATTTCTAAATATATATATATCTCATATTATAATGATGTGAGAACCACAGATAATTAATCTTAAGTACATTTTTACAGCATAAGAAAATTTCCTCATAATATTAAACCATGTGAAAAATATTTCTAAAAACAAAACATTATACTGATGACAAAACTAGCTTACAAAAGAGAATTCCTAAAATAAGAACTTTTAGACAAAAGTCATTTGCTATTGCTCAATATTTGATATAATAAAATCCAACCAACTCCACAATTAGAATAGTGGTTGGACTGACTGAGATTGAAAACCACCTTTTAAAGTGGCTTTTAATCAGGAAAAGAGATTTATAGGTTTATGGAATTGCTAATATCTGTCGTATTGTTTTCTGTGTTGGAACCAAACCTTTTCAAACTGGAATCCAGTTTATTATGCATTATTTCCACAAAGCTAAATCTAATAGAAACTACCATAAATAATGCAATTATTGCAGATTATACGTGGTTCCCATGAAAAGCATCCCCCATGAGCTTTTCCCATTACTCGTGTCCTGTCCATATGACCTACACCCACTAACTCCCAAATTTCTCACTCATCTCATTCAAGAAGCTTCTTCTAAGCTCTTCAGTCTGAGTGAGACGCCCTTCCTTCATCTTCTTTTATCTTTCTTCTTTTTTCTGTTGCCTTACTTATTACATTGTACATTTTTCAAGAATGAGGACTCTGGAGATGATGCCTCTCTTCATTTCTGTAGAGCTTTCATTCAGTACATGGAAGTCATGACAAATGTAGGAGTTGGAATTTTCTTGAGCTAGTTTTGAATAAATCATCAGTGGCTGGAATAGTTAGTTAAGAGAAATCCCTTACAGATCTAAATAATGCTGGACATAGATTTATGAAGAAATCAAAGAAATCATGGTTTTAGGATAAACATTTCTACTGGAATGGGAAGAAAAAATTTTAGGGGTGGAAACTGGATTATAAAGTATTATTTGATCAGGGATAAGCAGTTTGTGTAACTGGCAACATTTATTAAGTTACTTATTGGTAACTTACAAAAACAATGAATTGAGAGAGTTTTGAAAGAATTTCTAGAGAGCTAGGTTGAGAAGTCTGTATCTGACTTACTAGAAAATAGAAAAAATATTAGGAATTCTTAATCTTGAGAGGGGCTTGCCTGATACATGTTGTGCCTGAGAAAGACAAAACATGTGTCTACGTGTAGAATGAACTGCTGTAAAGGGAGAATGAAAGCGAAGGTTCAGCTCTTGACTGGTAATAAATATAATATGTGGGTGATTTGGTCTAAAATGCAATCATGTAAGTGGAGCACCCAAGACAAACTGTGAAAAAAATTTAAAAGTTTCTGACTAATGAGTATATGTGCTTGAAGGAGAATTAAAAACTAATAATAAAAGCAGGTTTTCAATTCTGGGGAATTCACAAAGATGGCAGCACTATAATGGCCTTGGGGAAGTGAGAAAGGGGTGCTGAATTTTTGGAGGGCTTGGAATGAAGCTGATAAAGTAGAAATAAATATAACGGATAGAAGTAAAGAAATATATTTGAATTGAAGATTTTCTATGTGTATATGTGCACAGAAAGAGTCTTGACATGAACTGGAAGTTGCCATGTACCACTCATAATATAATCATGTTCTATGACTAAAGTAAGGCAGGATATGTAAGATGGCAGCCCTCTGGATAGCCTCATAAGAGTAAAGTAACAAAGATAAAAAACCCCCCAAAAATACCATCTTTGTCTAATGTTGTTTAA